AGCATCTTCTGGCCTCATGTTAACATTTAGGAAATACTTACCAAAAGTTTACTTCAAATTACATCTGGACTAATCTCTACAAGGTGATGTAAACTGAAAAAACTGAAATAGTAATGTAACACTGGGAAAGATGGGCCTCTATTAATGAAAAAGTTAATAATGTGCATGGGTATCTACAACAAAAAGTCAATCAGAAAAATAAACACAAGAGCTAATTAACATGTATTTCACTTTCATGACTCTTTAAACTATTCCAGACAGCTATGTTATTTGGTTGGGGTTTTAAGAAAATAAGTTGCAATGACAACTTTTTGCATGCTAATCAACTTTAATGCTAGCAGACTATTGCTATTCACAAAAACAAAATAAACACGCTTAATTTTCAAAATAAAAATAGCAATTGATTTATTAGGAAAACATCCAGCCATTGCCCTAGGATAGCTCATAGTAATTAAACTGTATTGTCACACAGATCACTTCACTGCACCCTCCAATAATAAATATTGACTAATTAACAAACTCCTCCTACTTCATGCACATTAATGGTGACATTTGCAAAGGCAGCAGCAGCAGCAGTTTAGAATGGCTGCTCTTTGAGAGGTACAAAAGTGCACAGTGAAGGACCTCACTCCTTAACAATCTCTCTTTACATACCCATTCGAGTACATACACCCTGGCAGACCCACACAAGTGCCTGACACACACCCAGCTGTGGAGGAAAGGATTTTAAAACCCCAAATTTGTCACTAGAGGAAGCATAGTATTCTTACCAAGTAACAGCATCCACAAAGTTTACGGATTAATTTTTCTCTTTCTACAGGAAAGCACATTTTTTTACACACTTCTGCTGTGTTTTAATGGAGTTGGGGTTTTTTAACCATTCTGCATTCAGTGCAAATTGTTACTGCACTGAATGTAAACATGTGTTTATTTTCCTACGTTCCTAATGTTTTTAACTGATAATTTCTCTCTTTAATTTTTACTCTGACACCTTGAGGTTTACAGCATCATTTACACAGTCAGATGCTCTGATCATCTCTGCATTTTTTCATATGCAGACCAATGCATAAGCCACAACCTCTCTTAAGTAAACTATAATACGATTTTCTTTCTTAAAGAGACTGACATATTTTGCAGTCCATTGGCTTAGGATTTAGAAACCCTGACACACATGCCACGCTCTCTGAATTTCCAAAGTACATCTAATTTCACAAATGGCATAATCATAAATAACACATCACTTCTGAGAGTGCTCATGTGTACTCCATTTGGCAGCTTCTTGTTCTACCTTTTGGGGCACCCAAACAAAAAGAGTCCAAGCAATTTCTCACCTGTAAAAACTGGGAAAAATACTAAGAGAAGAAAGAAAAAGAAAAGCAGCCAAATTTGTGCTTTTAACTGTTCAGCAAAAGAGTAATTTCAAGACAATCGGAGCTAAGGTTTAACAGGTTCAAAATGAAGTGAAAATTGTACTCTATTCACTGCAGGAAATGTAAGGCAGGAAATAAGCAAAGGCATGAAAAGGAAGTGAAGGCAAGAAAGGAAATAATAAGGTAATGAAGAAAGAGTGCTATAGAAGAGAATTAAACCCAAGCAGACCAAAGTTCTGACATACACATTGCTCATAAAGGACTACAAAGTCCTGAGAAATTGTTCTCAGAAACACTGTCTGTGTCAGAAAAGTCAAATTGTTACAACGCCACCTCTCAGCCTGCTTTTGAAGTAATTGGTGTTCTTCATCCAGGAAGATGGGGGTATCTGGAGTAACTACTGGGAAAAGCTTGTCCCCAGAACAAACTGGTAATTCTCACTATCTTACACTGTCTGTGTTACATGTGCTTTGGAAATTATTCCCCATATTGTTTAGATATAGCCACCTGCTTCTTGTTCAGCTTTCATCATAGAAATCAAATTAAACAAAACAAAAAATATTTATTAAAACCAAACAAAACAAAAGGATATTACACAGTCCATGTTCCAATGACCAAAAATAAATTAAAAAGCCACCATTAGGTCATTCCAGCAGCAAGTCCAACCACTGCTTTCTTGCTAGCATTACACAGTGCCATCAAAACTTCTTGTCAAGACACAGCAATAACTACCTTGAGCGCAGAATTTATGTCTGGTTTGGTTACTTTTATTCTAAAGTTCTTATCTCTTGTTTTCAGATGCATATTATGTTTAACTCATTCGTAATTCTTGAGCAACATAATGGTACACAAAACCCTTGAGGGGCTAACTTCCAACTGACATTCACAGAGGCAGTAAAGAAAGCAAATCAGGAACACACCCAAGGTATGTGCTTCAGGGAACACTTATTCAACCAAATTTTTTAAAGTATTACATAAATGGAACAAACGACATTTGTATGAAAATAGAGACTTTTCTGGACACTACTAGGAAAATACTGTAGAGCTAAAAGAGTCAAGTATTACCAGGTTAGAACTGAAATTATCTCTTTTCTTCTTTTTTTTTTCTTATTTTAAGCTATTTATTGTTATTTTTATCTACAAATGCGACATAGATATTTATAAAAAACAGTGATGAAACAAAAATCAAACTATGTCAAGTAGCAGATATGCTTACTAAACAATTAGACAGAAATAAAGAGTAAGTTTTTGTATGTACTTACATATTTAAAATGTTGCAATAGATTCCTTACAGAATAAAACAACATTAATAGGAAACTCAGAGTGAAAGAACCTCTCTTTCACACTGCATTCATTTGCCAAGTATCATAAGACACCTTTAGGTAAAAGTAGCACACTGTTTTTTCTGAGCAGTGCTGGTTTGAGGACAGACCCCATTCCTGTACCACAGAGTCTCTGTAGCTGGTTTGTAACTGCAGCAAAATCTTTGGAAACTATGTGGTGAAAAGGAATGCATGGTCATCCTGGTAGTGAGCTGCTGAAATATGTTATATTTTAATAGCATAAGTTACTTAAATATCCATATGCATGTGAAGTAGAACTACTTGTGCATAGGTTTAGTTAAATCAGTAAGGAACTAACAAATAGTGGCACAAGAATACTCATTGCTATTAAAAGATTTATTCAGAAACTAAATAAAAGCATCATCATATAGACAATACTAACTTAGAAGTGGTGGCAAACTGCATAACACACTCTGATTAAGTGTACACTCTCAGACTGTTACATTTCCACAGACACACGAGCCATCCAATTTTCTTGACACCTATTTTTAATAAAAAATTAGTTGCAGGTACTTGTAGATATCACTTTTTGCATTAAGTACACCCAAATGTTTATATGACAAACACCTGTATCTAATCAGGAAACAATGCTACTATACAGCGCACCCTGAAAAAGTAAATTTATTGTAATTTCCACTATAAACACTGAGGAGAAAAAATACAGCAAATTCAATTACTTTAAAACTAATAACTCCAAATTTAAAAACGTGCAAGAGGAAATTACAATGATCATACCTATCTTATGAGCAGAAAAGACATCTCAGCTATATAAGTCATTTGCTCACTCCTGATAAATATTCATAATAATTCACATTTGTTTTTTCATCACAGACATGATGAGAAGACTGTATAAGTTCTTTCCCTGCCATCATTAATTTTATGTTTTACAGAATAGTTTTCCAGATGTGGTATGAAAAGGAGACAGATTACAGAATAACCTATTGGAAAATCCTTCATACCAGTGCATTAAAAAGCCATACCATTATTTTAAAAGTTTCAGGTTGTACAGGTGAGGTTGCTCTTGTTTTTGCTCTCTTGGTAAAGACAACAGCTTTTCAACTTTCATTTATCACACTGGTCAACAACTGTATTTACATATTATCCAGTGTACTGAGCAACATCACAACACTGTAGTATTAAAATTGCACATTTGCTAAAATATTTTTCTGAACAATGTACCAACTGCAAGTCATAAACATCCCTACTTGCTCAATAAAAGCAAGCTTAATAGCTTTTGCAACACTTAGAAAATTTTAGCACATCAGAAAAATTTATTTACTGAAGGAACTATCTACAGATACCAATCAATTCTATAGGGCCAAAAGGCTAATAAGCTTTTTCGTCTGATGTAAGGGCACTCCCTAAATGAGTATCATCTAAACATAAAACTCCAATTCTTCCAATGACTGCTTTATATCTAAAAATATCACTGCTGAATGCTGCAATTACATTTCTCAGATGGAGACATCTTTCTACATTATTTTCTTGAATGCATAAGATCCAGACTCGACAGTGTGCTAATCAACTGCACTGAACTGCAAATGTGATCTAATTAACTGGAAACCACTCAGATTTGATTGGTAGGGGTTTTTTGGTTTGCTTTTAAATCCAAGCATATCTTAATCACCTTGTCTGACCTCCATGGAAAACAGTAATGAAAAAGGACAAGATATTCAGAGAGAAAAAAACCCAACCCCATAATTATGAAATATGATTAGGTCCTGACAACATCTACTTACTCTCAAAATAGCATTTTTGCCCAGTAATTTCTTACGGATTTTGACATCAGTACGTCTAGTCATCAAACTGCTCAATGGCAAGAATCACCTACAGTGTGTATTTTGATCACACAGCCCTAACCATTTGAACCGTGCCTTACAGTTAGTTACTGATGGACTGGAGAAGCAGCTCCTTGCCCTCAATTTAGTTTGGTGAAAAAAACAATTCTGAGACTCCCAAAAAGCTTGGAAAGGTCATGGCACATTATATGTGGCCTTATTCGAGTTGGGTGTGTTCTTTATCATTAGGGCAGGTTAGGAAAGATGTATGCATCAGAAAATCATCTCCCTTCTTGGACTAGCAACATCTGTTAGGCCAAGTCTCCTTTTCTGCCTCCTCTAAAATTCTTAAGATTTAACAGATCTTGTAGGAAAGGAAGATGAACAGAGCAAGTCACCTCATGACTAATCTTGTCACTAACTGTTTTTTTTCTGTTGCCTATGAAAAGTATTCATTACAATATATAAGCTACTAAACTGAACATATGCCGCATCTCTTTTTTACTCACCTACGCAGTTATCACAAAGGCTGCAATGTGAGGCACGAGGTGGGCGGAAAATCTTGCAAGTAAAACAATATTTTAGTTTCACTGTCTGTCCATTGATGATCACTTCTTTTGTTCTGGGAGGGGGACGATATCCTCCTGAACTGCAGCCATTTGCTATATCTAAGCATGAAAATACAAGACATGAATTGTTGCACATGAGCTATGATGTGTGCACAAAACTGTCCTTAATGGCAATCTATAGCAAATTTCAAATTCATATTAACACATTTAAAATAAACAATTTTTCCCCTTCTAATTCACGAGTAATAAGCAGCAAAGAGACATTTCATTGCAAATAGCATCCAAAGCCAATCAATCTGAATCAAAGAAACCATCCAAACCCAATTCTCAAATGCTGACAATGACCTTGATCCCAAAATTCTTACAGTTTCATATCCCCTAATAGTCTTTAGATAACATATTAAAGACAACGATAACTACTTGTGTACAACAGCAAAACATGGAAATTACCTTTAGACTATTCCTAATTTTTTCAGAATTCCTGTAATAACAAAAAATCTCCCTAGAAATGCTGCAGAAATTCTACAGCCTAGAAAGGAATCTACTTTTACTTTACACATTTACTTAAACAACAGCTGCTCTGTCGTCTGAGCCTACTTAATGCTGAGATCTCTTGCATGCTGTGATACAACAGAGCACATTCACAAAAGTATCTTACAGCTTTTGCTCTTTAGAAGTTTGAACACCCAACTCCCAGTGTTACTTCTACACACCATGAAGTTTGTTTGTTGCACAAAATCGGTTTCCAGCTACCTTGTTTGATACAAGTAGTAGAGTTTTGGGTTTTGTTTCTAAGCTTCCTTTTGTTTTATTTTAGGATATTATCAGTAATTTTTCCAGGATCTAAAGGACTGATTAGGCTAATAAAGTTCAATTTTGCCCAAGCTGACCTTTACTCTGAAACTTCAACATGTAAAAATGGTGCCTTTTTCTAGGTTTATCTGTTCTTCTGTAACCACAATCAAGTCAAACCACAGAAGTGGAAAAGGAACCCCTAAATTTATTACACTTGGAAAACAGATCAGCTAAGACAACAGGGAAGTAAAATAAAATATTTTTCCAATATACGAATGAAAATACATTTCAAAGTCACAGTCAAGTCACTTGAACAACTGCGTCTTAAGTTGTCCTGCTTTCACATGTGGGGCTTGTTACTAAAAGATCTATGACTTTATTTGAGCTCAAATTGTTAGAAATATCACTCACAATTTTGATTTCTGCCAATTACACAGCCTACAAATGATGTATTTTCCAAAAGGACAAGAAGAAAGTCTCCCACCTAGCAAGGCATTCAAACTGGCAACAACACAGCTGTGCTAGCAAAGGTGCAATTATACAACGTGCTGATTTGGCAGCAAATCCAACTTAAGGAGTTCTCATCTGCAAAGTGCTCACCCATAAATATGATCCATAAATATGCATCAATAAATAAAAGTCTTTGTGGGACACCACTGTAAACTTGACCATTAAAACAACCAGACTTCAGAAAACACTAATGGAGAAGAGGATGAAATGAAGGGAGCAATAGCTGAGATGGACGGAATCTAGGTATAAAGCTCCTAAACATCCATTATGAGAATGAAGTGGTGAATACTAAAAAAGAGCAGCATACAAGCAGCCTCCTACAGCCTGATGAGGTAAAGACATTCACTTGTGTTGGATATAAAGCAACTCCTGCAATGTGCTTGCGTTGCTTGGCCAGGTCCTACAACCTGCACGTGGAAGCACAGATTATTGTGTGGTTCCCACAACTCGCAGTTATACTGATTTTGACCTCAAGGTCAATACTACTTGACAAATATTTCTGATTAAGTAATGCTACCGGTGTATTTCAGCGTATAAGCTGAAAAGACGTTCTCTGGAAGACACAGCACAACTGTGCTTACAGTATTTAAAGCTTTAGAGAGACATGGACATTACCTAAATCCAGAAGACAGGGAAGAATTTCTTCTAGTTCATATTACATTAAGAAAGCTTCTGGTGACATTATAACCAATCAGCTTGTAATAGTCACAGTCCTTCTAGAAATCTTTGGGCATTACAAAACAAAATGTTAGACCCATTTCTGACCATATTTTGGTCAAGATAAGACTTAAACAGTGAACATAAATATAGGTCATTAGCCCTACAAATTTATTTTCTTGAATAAAGCATTTAACACATGCTGGCATGGCATGTTCATTAAAAACCCAAATATTTTCATTTGATACTAAAATTTAGGTGCATAATTATAAAAATACTACTAATGCCTGAATTTCATCTAGGTGTAGCTTTGTATGCTAGAAATACTGATGCATTTGTATGGTAGAAATACTGACCCTAACATAACAGTAATATTTCAGATTTTTTTCTCTTACAAAATCTTATTATTCTTGAGTATGTACATAATAATTGAAAGAAAATTACTTAAACCAGTCAAGGGGAATTGTTTAGACGGAAAATGCTCTTTTTCCTAGATAAACATTTATTTTGTAAAAGGCACATTGACTAAAGCTAGTATTTCCCCTCCCTTTCAAGAAGATCACAAAGTGAACCACAATTATTTTAAATGGGCTTTGGCAGAATCTCAAAGGCAACTTCTGTCTTCTCTGGCGGAGAAGTGAGACTAGTGTCTAGCCCATTTTATTTACAACACCGATCTTCTAAGAGGACTTCCTCCCAAACATTTGCAGGGAAGTTCACAGAGACAGCAAATCCTAGCTCTCCGAGGCAAATTCATCTTGAAATCCAAGGGCGAAAGCTCATGCAAATGAAATCAGTGTAAACAGTCTTGCTGATTTTCCAAGGACTGAGAATTTTTCTCAAAATTCTAAATTGCATAATCAAACCTAAATGTTCCAGTCTTTCTGTTTACTAACATCTTTTTCCTGGAAACAAGCAGCAGAGCAAGGTCAAATGTGCTTGGATTTAATACAATTTATCTAACCTAAATGTGCTAAACATGTCCTGGTCTCACTGTGAATTTTCAGTAGTTTGCCTTCAATTCAACTGCTCATACCTGGGGTTTAACACAGTTAAATCTTCAATATATGAGGTCTCTTTGAGGAACAGAAAAATTAACCTTTATGGACTCACCTTCCCCAAATAAACTGTGTTTGATCACTACTACATTTCATTCATCCAACCTATTACTGATGGAGTAATGCAAGTTCTTTCACAAAAAGGCTAAAACTTACCCACTAATGGGATTGCATCCATCCTCCCTGTTCTGACACGTTTTGTAACTTCTCTAGCAGGGTTAACTGTTCATGCACTAGATAGGGCTCCAGCATTTTTATTACTATAATTACAAAAACTCCATGTAAGCAATTCATGACCTTGCAGGACCGAGAGACCTGAACTGCTCCAAGAAAGATACTCCAAGTATTTAATGGAGATACAGCACAACCTAGCAACCTTCTAATGGGACAGCAAACTCCGCTTAGATGTCTCAATTTATTACGCTACAAACAAATAAGCGGTGCTGACGAAAGACAGAAGCTGCAAGTTTGTATACGTATCACCAGGACTCTCCTGCTCAATTAAGAATTGGATTTTTTGGCCAATGTTCCCAAGAACTTGAGACAAACAGCCTCTAGAAGGCAGCTCTACATTGTCTCTATACAAGCTTCATAACCATAGCATGCAATGTTTGTTGACAACTTTAAAAGGACACAATTTCAATCTTCAAAAAAATAATATTTGAGAAGTCAGTAAACTGAAACAATTCTAATGTTTCCTGAGGACTAAATGAAAAGGTAATGAATCTTTATGTATAACCCATAACATCTGAAATACAATAGAAAAAATTCTAACCAAAACAAAACAAAGCAAACTAACAATGCAAATCTCTAAGAAATGTCTTCCTACATGTTTAACTGTTCAAATTTAAGGTACCTGTTTAACAACAGTGGGCTACAAGACAAAAGAGTAATTCACTTCTTGGAGGGAAGAGAACTTAAATAAAATGCTCTTGTTTCAAGACAGTAATCTCAGGGACAAACAATACTGGGAGTGTGGTTTAGACTGAAACCAGCAGCTGCTAACTGCATTCTTCACATAGTTTTTCATCTGATAGCCATCAAGAGATACTGAACACATATTGCTCCTGAATTTAAGGACTTGCTGCCTTAGATTTTTCTGAAATAATGTATTATTTTCTTAAAAGTAGAGTTTCATGATCTTCTTGAAGCCTAAAACTTCATGTGAATGGTATGCTCATTCCCAGAAAGAAATGTAATCTTTAGTGATTTGTTGAGGGAAAGAAGCATAGACAGGAAGAGCTTTCTAAGACTTACCTGACACACCAAGTAATTTCACTATATTTATTTCAAGCATGTTGTTTATAGGTGCAGTATCAGGTACAACTACAAGGCTAGGAAGCTGATATCCCACCTTTGTAAAGAAAGCAAAACATGATAACCACAAATGGTATGTATCTGCTCAGGCCATGGTCAGTTCTATGAAATGCCTGTGCTGTGGCACGGATTTAACTTTATAAGGCTATAATGAAATCCAATTGTGCATTTCAAAACAAAACAAAGACAGGCAAAGAATTCTGAAGGAGTCTCAAATGTGGTCTTGAGCATCAGCATAAATTAGACAGCCAATTTGCAGAGACAGCGTGCTGGTGTAGCTCATACATTGAGTTCAGGGCTTGGAAAACACAAAAGCAAGCAAGCAGAAGCTGTCCTGTGATCTGGCCTGAGCTAATTGTACGGATTAGATGAGGAAAACACATGTAATTTATGACAGCCTGAAGAAAAATCCAAAGCATTTTAAGGTTGGAAGAATAAATTGCCATAACCGTCTTTTCAATTATCTGCATCACCTATCCAGCGCAAACAAGATTGATATTGTGGAAGAATTGTTAAACTTGTATACATCAACTGGACAAATGCCTTCCTGCTTACAAAACCCATTCTCCTAGATTGGGTTATCCTTCTAAGCCTTCATTTTCAGAAGTTCACAATTTTTCCACTTGAAGTGACTTAACACTGACTTAACTCCAAGAAAGACATGTAACTTGTAGCAAAGAGGCTACAAAATAAGGCTGCTCTTAGTATTTGTGTTTGCATAAAAGAAAAAGCCCCTCTTAATATAGCATTTTTATTGTGATTGCAGAAGCCATGCTTATATGCATCATGACAATAATGTCATTACAGCTAGGATACCCCTGGAAAAATTACTTTTCAATTTTAATGGAAGTTATAATTGAAGTAGAAATACTACATCAGTACATTTAATGTTGCATTTAAACAAAAAAAAAATCCTGCTGCATTTCAGTGAAATTATAGCACTTTTATAATAAAGTTTCCCTCAGTGATTTTTACATTATATAAGCCTCATATATCTAGTTGCTTTTGTTCTATTACGTTATATGAAAACCCCAGAAAACTAGAGTATTTTAAGACTTTTGCCTCTCCTCTCTCTTATGCCAAATGCATGTATGTATTAAATATTCTTACAGGTCCTGTTTTCCAGATTTGTCTGTTTAGCTGCCTTCCTCTTGAGTTTTTACCTATGTTGTAGAAAACCAGACAGTGAACTGAGCCCTCATCACCACTGGGTATCCCAGAATATCCCTTCTTCTGGTTCATGTAACCACTCTTCTTCTAACATGCCCCAAAAAGGATTTCTCCTTCTCATCATACCACAGTGCTAACCCAACCTGTTTGGAAATAACACTCAAGTCTCCTCTTCCTGCACCATTCACCACTTAGATCCTTTTCCATTAGTATTTGATTTCCACTTGTATTCATGCATTTTGTGGTTTTTCCCTAACGTTGCTCAAACTATTTAAAATACATTAAAAAAAGAAAAAATCAAACCTAGTGATTGCAAATTTCTCCATCTCAGCACCAACTTCAGAGTTAAGCAGATTCCTCATGAGCCCACAATCTGTCTCTGAAAGGTCCTATTTGAGCACTTAGCATTTGCTGCTAGAGTGTCTTTTTGAAAAGGTACTTACTGACTTTGTGGCAATTGCACCTAGAACTTATTTCCAAAACTTATACAGAAAGAATCCTATGCAGGACACCATCAAGAGCTAAATTAGAGTGAAAAATTAAGCACATCTTCTGCTTTCCCACCAAGACAGTTACTCTTTCAATGAAGGATATCAGATTGGTTACACTTGATTTTCTCTTGAAATTTTTTGTTGCTTGTTTTGAGACTTAAACAGCCACAAGCCCCAACCCTTTGGTAGCCCAAATTCTAATAATTTGATCATGTAGCATGTCATTCCAGACATAGAACAGTTTCTAGTGATAGAATTGACAGATTTCTATTAAAGCAGAACACTAGATAAACCAATAATGATACAGGATAGTAGATTAACAGACTTTTAAACTACAACTGTTTTCTTTCTTCTCTTTCTATCAGCGATCAAGAAGCATACAAGTTATCTTGTGAGATCAAAGCAGTGTTGAATCCTACAGACTGTCCTCTGCTATTTCTCATTTCCCAATTGCACAGCATGCCTTCAGCTTTTCTTTCTTCCTCTGACCTCTAATAGAACCTGTCCTGTTGTCTTCTACTGCTCCTTGCAGATTGTAACTGACTTTATTCTCCTTTTGCCTTTCCCAATATGCTTGTGCCATCTTTTTATACTGATCTTTAAGAACTATCTCCAGTTCTGACAATAGTGTATTTTTGACTACAATAAAATACAGTCCAAATGGCCTCTTATTACACTTCCTAACTTCCTCTATATGAGGATAGTTTGATGATTTGCATGAAATACAGTATTTTTGAATATCAGAAGTTCCTTTTGGTTTTTTTGACTTTTTTTTTTTTCAGTTCTTTTCACTTTTTCTTCACCTATGAACACAGCAAATTCTCAAGAAATAACTGCTTTCCATTCCTGTACACAGGGGGGAGAAATAACAGCATCACATCTCCGTTAGTCCCACATTCTTCACCTGAAGAAGGCTGATAGCCTAGGTAGAAACATTTTTTTTTTCTTTTTTTTTTTGCCTCTTAATATACTTAACCTGTTCCCAGAAAGTCACCTGAAAGGACAAAGTACTGTCACCTTCTTTAGAAGGTCTTATTTTGAGAACAATTCTTCCAAATCAGCTCATCCTATTCTATGCTTTCTAATGTAAAAAAATAAAGTTTGATACATTTCAAGAGAACTTCAAAATAGCATTCTTAAATCACAATTCCTTGTCTTGGGACACGACTGTTTCTCAGTGCATCTGTAATAATTTCTGGTAGGCTGCTTCCCAAAAAGATCAGTAGGGCAGGGTAAGACTCAAGTATCTAAGAATGATTTTAATAAAGTAAAAGCTACAAATAGGACAGGATACATTAATACATTTTAGCAAAGAAAGTATTTGGTAAAGGCATTATTTTTAGGTGAGTTATCTGAAGAACTGCCTTGTCTAAAATAAATTACTGCTAACCTTGCACCCCATCTTTAGAAGACACCTCAAGTTGAAAGGTACAGCAAGTTACAAGGCAATCCAGCCTGCATGATAGTTTTGGAAAATCTAGTATTTTCAACTCCAGGAGCCATTCAGTTTTTCCTGCTGCACAGATACCACTCCACTAGGATACCTTTCACAGGCATATAAAAAAACCATACTGTAACGGTACAAAAATGTTTCTTTCCACTTCCATTGTTGAATCCAGAATCACAATTTTAGGGCAGAATGATTTCTTATAGCTACCTAGCTTGTTCCTCTATTACACTTGCCATAAGCCCTCATGCTTGGGAACTCCACATTTGCTGCCACTGTAATTCCTTGCTTCAATATTCCACTGGCCCTTCTTGGAAGAGTACTGCCTTTGCTACTGCTGAAGAAAAGACGATGGCTTTGATCAGCTCAGCAGCCTCAACCTGTGAACAAGTATGCAGTACCATTTAAAAAGAATTATAATTTGTAAACACAAGTTCTGAACTTGCTCTACACAGGAACATTTTGACTGTCCCCTCTAGTATATTCAATTTGTATTTTTAGTTTTGTATGTCGCCAAAACTCTGACAGATGACAACATAAAATTATTGTTGTGAGCTGCTTATTTGAAAAAATTTATTTCCTGACATAGATCAATGTTTCTGTGAACACAGAGCAAATAAGCAATTCCTTGAACAGGAACCTGTACCAGTGTTTTGTACTAAAGGTGGTACCTTATTCTAAGTAAAGAATTCCTTGAAGGAGATCAATATAGGAAACCATAACACTGGTTACAAAAAGGTGCTAAATGAATGCTTCATTATGTTTTTACATATTTTTATGCACTTCTGAAATTCAGTTAAATAGCAAATGTTTTAATACTTCTATCATAAAAAGCCTAGGACTGCACTACGGTATTAAACACCAAGGATACTGAAAGTGTTTTTCTAGACCTGTTACCTGTCTTTTCAATCACATGAGTGAGTATTTCTCTGAAACTGCATTTAAAAATGGGACTTCTATTGACTATGACATCAAAGCAGATTTAGTAGCATTTGGTAAGGTTGTAAGCACACAAACCCACTATTTATGAAGCAGCTCTGCAAACTCATCCTGCGTTCTCTTATCCACGTGGCACATTTTAGCTATTCAGCATATTTGTACTTGTAGAAGTCCCACTTACAGAATTTAGTCAACAGTGCTCTTGTTAAGCAAGAATGGTTAAAATCTAGCTCTATACTTTAATCATGCTGGCTTTACTAAAAAAAAAAGTAACATGTTTACTGTATATTAACACAAAGACTTATCTGACTCTTTTGCAGTATAAATAACAATTAAATTCAGTTAAATTCTGAGAACACACAGTTTTAAAAATGCACAATTATAGATCTTTTGCAATATCAGCTTTCTTGTCAAAAACACTTAAAATATATTCTCTAATGTATCACAGAGAGATTTCTACCAGACTTGCTGAGAAGTATTTACAGTAATAACTATCACTGTAAAAGGCCAGGGTTTTGTTTACTTTCTTGGTGAAGAACTGATCAATCATCTTTCCACAGGAATCACTGCAACATCATCAAACATTACAGTTCCAGAACAATCACTGTGGCAAGGTAGGAGTAACTCCTCCCAGGAGCAGAGCAGCACACTGCCTTCACACAGCACATGCACCCTCGGGAGGAGAGCGAGGAGACAACAGACCTTCGGTGTTACCTATTTGTCTCTCTAGATCTGCTGCCTCGTCTGGTGTTGCGCGGGGGAGGACACCAGGGTCACTGAAACTAGTACGCAGCAGGGTCCCCATCACGAAAAAGAAAAGAATCCCACCAATTGCAGGTATAGCAGGCGTAATCTTCTCTGACAAATATGGGCAACTGGAAAAAGAAAAAGAGTCAACAATCAACAACAAATAATGCAACTTGCTCTCAAAAACTCTTGGCCTCTATAAATGCATATGAAGAATTCACTTTCTTCTCTTGATGCATTACTTGCTTTGGAATGCTTACTGAAGCTGAAATTTCTGTTTATGTGTTCTGCAATTTTTCATAACATGTTCAATATAATAAAGGCACAAGTAGCATAATAATGACCTCACTATATGCAATACTCATTTACATAAGAAGATAAAATATTTTTATCACAGCATAATAAGCTTATATATTTCTTCACCTGCTGCCCAATTACATAAAAGTAAATTGGGCAGAGAGAGGAAAGGGGAAATAACATTAAGAAGCCCATAACATGAAGAAATAAGCCACACTGAAATACATAATTAAGTCTATAAAATGGATTTATCATCCACCAGAAAGATGGTGCTCAAGAACATGCAATGCATTCCTTTAACAGTCTTGGTGTATATCAGTATTTTAACATCTCTACTGATTTTCCTTCTTAACCTATTTCTTGTAACTTAGTAAATTTGTTTATTCATTTACAAAGTAAGAAGAATACGAATAACAGTTCAACAAACCTGGGATCAAACAATCCAGGGGCATGCCTATGTCAACATCAACAGCCCATGACCAGGGCAAAAATGGCTCTATGTTTACCAGATTTACAATATACAAGCAGAGTTTAAGGCTGGATTAAGCAAATTTAAGCAAATTTAAGTTTAAGCAAATTTTCCCCTATGCTTCACATATGACTAAATTAAAATGGACAGAAACTCTGGAATCCAACCAATACACAAATATAAGTATCTCTACAGCTCTGCAAAAAGAAGGGATATGAACACTTGGATATTACAGAAGCACTGCAGCACCATCTTAGAAAACACACAGGCTGAAGACTGTCTTCATAGCCCTTATGTTAAGTAGGTGTGGGTAGAATACCAGGATGGCTTCAGGTACTCCTGTTGCCTGTGTAAGACGTCATAAAATAAGCCTAAAAACACAAGTCAAAAATCAACAAGTTCTAGGCCTTAGGGCTTCATCTAAAGTTTCTAGGTATCGATCAAATTTAATTAACATTATCTTCCCTATTTCTGCTGACTGACTTAAATGATCATTCAGACGTGCAAGCTTTTGCACTACAAGTCAGTTAACCTCAGTGGAATGTTAACTCTAAGCAAGTGATGACAATGTCAGCTCCACTGTCCATCACTTCTGCAACAGGATGGGGAGAGAATGGAAACACTTTTCATACCAGCTGCCATGTAGAAAGCATTTATCTCCCTGCATAACCCTATTAAAAATATGTGACTGCTTCACCAAACCTAGAGGGTTTAATGGATGCAGTGAGTCCATATGCATTACACGGTGTACACCATAACAAGTGGAAATCATCTCTCCCTACATTAATGCAATACTAGAGGTGCCACAAGTTATAAAATATTAAGAAGATACCTGGGTATTAAAAAAGGTGAGGCCCAAGAGACACTGGGGTTTCACACAACAAACAGACTGCTGAAATGCTAGGAAACATCCTTCAAATGTATGCTTTTAGGAAAATCTTCAAAGACCCAGATTTATGATATCAGTGCTAGCTAAAGGAAGCAGCAGCAAGATGTAAGCCTTGGTAGCTATAAGCCTTGCTCCTCTCATGTCAGGAGAAGCCAGTCAGAATGAACAGCCAAAGAGAAGCTTTCACACTGCATGAATGTCCTACTGCTCAATTTATTTCTCGCCACAAAGGACTACTGAAATCAAAACCACTGTAATGTGCTCAGAGAAGAGTACAAATAGGCTGCAAGAACATATTTTTAAAAGGATTAGAGGGAACGTGTACATTAATGAACGCTAAATATAGCACAGTTCTCTCACTCTTCTATTGCATTATTCATTACACGTACCCAAGAAATTGCAATTGTGCTGAAGTCTGTTGACCAAACAAGAGCTGTATGTGTGTGAAAGGCAGCGTGAGATAATCTCAGGGTAGCACAGTAGGCACAGTACAATTTCAACACTTGCCAACACAAAACCAGCAATGGCATTACATACACAAATTCTCACGGATACTCACAGGATGGAAACTAAGGGCCATCATGAGTCTAACATGTTTCCTTTTAACACTAATTTCAAATGAAATTGGTAGAAAGAAAAAATTTATGTACTGAAATACTAATTAAGCCCAACATTGCTGAAAAGTGATGTTTTCAGTATAGTAAAAAAGCATGGAAAAATCTCTCTCTGTCTTGCTGAACCAAGTCCACCTACAGTGAAAAAATCCCCACCCTCAAAGCCCTGTATAATCTTCACAACAAGCAAGTATGAGGTAATCTGCTTCACCTAAAGTCGCTTTCAAGGTTTAACAATGTGTATTTTACCACCTTTGATTTGAAATTAATTCAGCAATAATGCAGAAAAGACTGAAGATGGCATCTTTGGGAATAACAACCAAGTAATATTCCACCAATTAAAAAATTATTTCAAGCTGAGAAACCAGTTTCTTACAGCAGCTCCTTACAGAGATTCAGACAGTAAGTCTGGGCAAGACCATTTAATACAATCTGATTTATGTACAGACCATATAGTATTACATGGGCTCGCAGAGAGCTCGACGACATCTCTCCTTTAAAAACATCCAATTAATTTTTGAAATACTTGTGACATAAATCTAAAAAAACTAAACCAAACAAAAACCAGCAGATACCATTACACCTTTTTTCTTCACATTTGTTTAAAAAAAGGGGAAAAAAAAACTTACTTCTCCTGAGTTATCAAAAAATCTATTAAATGTGCCTTCAAATTAAAAACATGGATCTTAGCTGAAAATGGTGAAAAAATCTGTAGGAATAGACTTGCATATTTATATATTTTATATTTGCATGCTTATGTAACAAATGTATTTGTACTGCTACATTAAGTCAATATTATTTCAAACACTTCTAGTGTTACTACTTTTAAAATTGTCAAATACTGAACAGAGAAACAGATTATCCCTCATGTTTGCCCAGATTCCTTACTTAATTTAATTGAGGATGTATCCCTTCAGGCAGCAGCTTCCCTCAGATATTACAGGAATTATCTTTTTTGAAGGGTATTTTCAGTGATTTTTTTTTTAAAAGCAAACACTAGTGGATATTTCCTGACAGCAAATTTGAAAATTCTCCCTGCAAAGGGAAACCCTGTGCAGAGACCTGTCCACTGCCAGTAACACCTTGATAAACAGCAGAGAGCTCCAGGACAGATGTCTGTCTTACTGCAGAGCAAGCAGTGACAAACCTTTTCCAAGTGGCACTTGGTGACGATTAGATGTGAACTGACATCCTCAGTTTACATCTTAGGGTAAAACAGTTGCTTTAAATCAGCATCTGTAAGGACAGCAAGCATTGACTAGGTCTATCCCAGAAAACATATTTTTAGAAAATATTTCTAGACCACAGACCCTGTTAGAAACTGTTACTGTGAAAATTGCTTTTTCAAACAAGAATGTTTGGATCCATATACAGCAAACACTAATATAACTTGAAGTTTTGAATTAATTGAGAACTTTGATACTTTTAGTCCTGCTTTTTGCTTGGCTTCTCAGCTGCTTTTTTGAAGCATCATGTGAAAGTCTGCATGAGTGTAGGAGGGAAACAAAATCTGGTGGAAGACTAGTCTGTCACAGCTCGATAAAAATAAAAACACCCTGGCACAGAAGAGATAATTATCAAGCATCACCCCTGTGAACAAAGGATGCAGGGGAAGCACAAAAGCAACTCTTACCACCCAGCAGCCCTCGTAACTGTGTAACCATACTCCCTGTGGCTACTGAGATCAGCAGAAAAATGCATCTAGAAACTGCGCTGAGGAGCACAGTCAGAGTCCTACAACTTCCAAGCATTGTCATTAGAAAAGGGGAGGAAAGAAGTCTCCTGAAGGCTTTTCCTGGAAAGATGATGACTTTCCTGAAAGGTTCCCTGGCAGTTATTCACTGATGGAGAGACTCAGTAAATGACAAATCTATCCAGTAGAGATATCTGAAGAGGGGCTGAGCCTGTATTAAAAAAAAAAAAAAAAAAAAACCAAAACAACAAAACCCCCAGGGTTTTATACATTGAAGATTTAAATTAATATTTGCTCAGTTGGCATACAGAAAAAAAAAAGTACAAATTTAATGCAAAGATGAAACAGCTATCACACTTAATTACACTAATTAAAACAAAAAAGCCCTACAAGCTTGGCTTGCAAGACTGCTAAGAGGATACTCTATGTCAAGCTGTTCATCAATATATACTCTTTGTAGCAGACATAAAATATATGTACTCTAGGAAAAATATAAATATAGTTGAGTGACGTAACATAAAGAAATAAAATTGTTTCTTTTCCTACATCATCTTCATTTCTATTTCTGCACATACTGCCTGTTTAATATACCAGTGGCTATTGGCATGCAGGTGATGTCCAGCAGAAGGCAGAGGGCTGGCACTGGGCACCCTGGGTTCAGCTCCACGTGTTACAAGTTAACATCTGAATGAGACAGAGCTGCTTTCTTTAAACTGGCCCAAGGGGTTTGTTGTTTCTCCTTCCACTCTTATTTATGGCTCTTCTCAGCTTACCCTTCCTTTCAATTCCACTGCATCATTGCTCCAAGCCACTGTCCCAAACTTCTGCCCTTATGCCAACACAAATCTTCATTATGTTCTTTTGTGAATGAAGTTAGTTTACTAAATTGTATGAAAATAACACCATTTAGTTGACTGCTCTTTCTGTCTAACAAACCAAACATGAACCTGAAAAGGATATAAGCACAAAGCAAAGGAAAAAGAAGCACACACAAAAACTACAGGGAGAGGGAATTTTGGACAGTGGGAGGAGACCTCAGTTTCAGCAGTTTTCAGTAAGGTTTTCATTCAGACCACATCCTCCTTTGAAACCATGTTCTAACCTTGACCTCTTCCAATTTAGAGATGGCAACAGAATACCCATATATAGACAGATTAAAGGCAAAG